TGATAGCTGAAATCATCACTGGACTGGAGTTCATCAGTTTCCACCATCATCATCGTCTTCAATTATACCCAACTGCAAACTGCAAAGAAAAAGAGAAAAAAGAAACAAAATGAAATCGACTTTCAAGAAAGCCCAAAAACAGAAACGAAAAACATAAACTCGTCTTCACTTATTAATTATTATTAACAATAGCAAAAGAAAGAGAGAAAAAGAAACAAAATAAAGAAAGCCCAAAAACAGAAACGAAAGACGTGAACAGAGAAAACAGAGAAGAAACCAACACACAAGATATCTCGCTAACTTCATCTCTAGCAATCCCTACTCAAGGCTCAAGCCATCCTGCAAAAGGATTAGTAATACAAATAAACAACCCCAAAAAATCAGAAATTTATGAAACGGAACATGAAGAAAACAAGCTATAAAATGCCTGCGGTAATGGGAGAAATGCACAATCAAGAGCACGATAATGACGATCATGGCCAACAGGCCATAGCAAATGCTGTCTCCATTTCTGTACACCTTGCTCAGCGTAGCCTTCACATGAGTTTTTGTGTTTTTGTTGCCCATTTTGGGACCTTTTTTGCTGGAAGTGGATTTTGGTACACCTTACGGAGAGACTGGGGCTTATGATCGGTACTGGGAATTGGAATCATGGCTCGCGAATGAATGAACTCATGCTGGCTGGCGCATATAAATAATAAAAAACGGTTGGAGTTCATTTTTTTATTTTCCTTCTTTCTTTAAAATAAAAACGGTTTCTGATCTTGGAATAAATTTGAAAACAAATAAAAATAAAATAAAATAAAATGGCCATTGACAATGTTTCAAAAATGGGCCCGGCAATTGACGTGGTGGGCTTCGGGTCTTCAGGTTAACTTATTGGGTCAAATCACATAGTTTATTTAAAAAAAATGGTTTAATTTCCTATAAAATCACAACCTTTTCTAAACAACTTGAGCTCTAACAGATTATGGAAGGTCATTTGGTCGCAAATAAATATGTAAGTATTTATTATGAATTGTAAATATATTTATAGACCATTTTTTGGTCAATCCCTAGCTTAAATGTTCTATCAAAAATTTTTTGTGTGGCACTGATGAGTCTTGCGTGACACTGATATTTAAATTCATCAACACGATTTTTCGACATCATATGCCAGGAAATTAAATATGACCGAGTTCACTCCCAACTTTCCAAAAGAAACTTAATTTCAAATACTTAAAAATTGGGCAGGGAGGCGAAAACGCTCGTCCGATTTCTTTCAAGATGGAAGGTTGTATTGAATTCATTCTTTTGCAATTCAACACTTGACAACGTCATTTGGTCTTATCAGCTTTTATTTAGAAACACTATACAACCTCATTCATGAAATAACTCGTGCAATTCAACACTTGACATGACGCCTAGATGAAAATTGCATCAAGATCTCAACATATCCTGTATCATGTAAAGCAGATATAAAACTTCCAGGCTAAGTACACATATACCTATCTGCATCCATGATAGAGATTGCCACAAAAAAAGTAAGTTAGTTATCTGGTCTACACAAGCTAGCCTGAAACAAGAGAAGGCAGATAAGCTACGATTAATCACCAATGGTTGACGACCAAAAGCAGGCGTGAACCAACCGCTACACGAGCCTGATCGAGCACTCGTTTTCGCCGAGCAAGTTCTTCGTATCCTCTCCTCCGCCACGTTGAAAACGCCTCTTTCGTGAATAATCCAAACATTGTCGATATCAATTACCAAATCATCTTCATCTTCCTCCTCCTCACGAAGGTTCCAAAACATCCCGAGACCATCGGCTGTCGCGTATCGAATGCAGTTAGGTTCCCCTTCCATTGAAATCGAGCCTGTATCTCCCAAATATATACACTTGTCTCCCGTTTGCTCCATCCTTTCCGATAACAATAATAATCTATCGGTGTCGCCACTATTATTCAATAGCCGACGAACCTCGAATCCTCTCGTCTGGGGACACTTGTACACCCGTGAGTCGATCAGCTCCGGGCTGCCCAAATCGAAGGCGTGGGTGAACAAGTCGAGTGTCGCGCTCACGAGTAGAAGCTCGTCCGCGGACCCCACCAAATGCTCGGCCACGTTCCACCTCTTACACACCTCGAATCCGGTGTAGTCCTCGTAGGGTGCCAAGCTGGCGACCTCGTACGCCAGCTCACACGTCACCACCTCCAAGTTAGCACTACTTGCGAGCGTGTGAGTGCTCGTTTTCGAGACAAACGGGCGGGTCCCCGGGTCCCACGGTGGGCACACGGCGAAGAGCCTCCCACCGTGGAAAATGATGTCCGAGTAGCGCTTGGTTTCGTCGTTGTTGGGGAGCACAGCCCAGGACGGGTCGCCGGGGGAGCAGACCGCCAGTCGGTCCCACTTGTTGCGGCTGTAGTTCTCGATCAGCGAGAAGACGACGGCCACCACCAACAAGTCCAAGTCCGTGGAAGAAACTCGGGCTTGGGTGATGACGAGAGGGGACGAGAAGTCGAGCCCGACGGCCTCGAAGGAGCCGGTCGCCAGCTCGTCGAAGAAGGGAAGGGTGGATAAAGGGGGGAGGTCCCGGGTGGCGCCCGACAGCGGCTCCCACAGGACCATCTCCGTGATGTCGAGGCAAGGGGAATGGCCCACCAGGAGAAGCCAGCCGTCGCCGGAGCCGCGGCAGGACCACCGCTGGCGGAGACGGCGGCGGCGGGGAAAGGGGCGGCGGTAGGTCCGGCCATCGGCAGGGGAGTCGAGGGTTAAGAAGGGGTCGTCGGAGGTGGGAAGGATGAGCCACGGGGGCTCGGGTCGGACGGGGAATTCGGAGCGTGTGAGCGTGTCCCTCCACGAGCGGCAGACGAGCCTCATGCGAGTTCGGTCACCGATGCACAGGTTGCCGAATATCCGGCCAATTACGTCATCGGGAAGTCCGTCGAAAGAAGAAGAACGAGAAGGGGGGTTGTGGGCCCCACGGGAAAAACCGGGGATGAAGGACGTGAAACGACGAGAGTACCACTTGAGGAAAGGGAACAACATTGTGAATTTTGTATATATGGAGATACAAATATAATTAATTAACTGGTTTTCTGTGTATACCTGTGTTTATATATATAGAGATAGATACTGTCATTCTAACAGGAATTCCAATCCAATTATGTCTAGGATTGGGAATGTTTGGGGAAGACGGATAAAATATTATTATATATTATGTGTGTGTATATAATATTTAAAGTTATAAATTAAATTATAAACCAAATACAAAATCGAATTATGCCAACTAAATTTAGTAACAACTTCACTCATTACTTCTTGTAGAAAATAATAATTTTAGTTACATGTGATTTTAATAATAATAATAATAATTTTAAATCAATTAATTGATCATGATCTCTAAAAATTATAAAAAAATATATTATTTATAACAATTATATAATAAATATAATGATTCTTATGTATATTATGTAATTTATATTTATATTATTCATTTCTTAATAAATTGTCAAAATTTAAAATGATATACTTATAATAACTTATAAACTTTAAATAATATATGTACACACATATATATATATAACATTTTATTTATTTTTGTGAGTAGTAATTTATAATATTTAGCTCTACTTACCCAACCAAGAGTACTTTGTTGTCACATTATCCGTCTTCCCCAAACATTCCTAATCCTAGACATAATTGGATTGGAATTCCTATCAGAATGACAATATCTATCTCTATATATAATTATATATACACAGAAAACGAGTAGTTAATTAATTATATATGTATCTCTCCATACAAAATTCACAATGTTCTTCTCCATCATGTTCCCTTTCCTCAAGTGGTACTCTCGTCGCTTCACGTCCTTCATCCCCGGGTTTTCCCGTGGGGCCCACAACCCCCTTTCTTCTTCATCTTCATTCCACCGTCTCCCAGATGACGTAATTGGCCGGATATTCGGCAACCTGTGCCTGGGTGACCGAACTCGCATGATGCTCGTCTGCCGCTCGTGGAGGGACACGCTCACACGTGCCGAATTCCCTGTCCGACCCGATCCCCCGTGGCTCATCCTTCCCTCGGACGACCCCCTCTCCACCTCCCTAACCCTCGAGTCCCCAGCCGAGAGCCGGATTTACCGGTTCCCTCTGCCCCGCCACCTCCTCCCCGGCCGCCACCGTTGGTCCTGCCGCGGCTCCGGCGACGGCTGGCTTCTCCTGGTGGGCCACGCCCCTTGCCAGCCGGACACGGAGATATCGATGGTCCTGTGGGACCCACTGTCGGGCGCCACCCGGGACCTCCCCCCTTTATCCACCCTCCCCTTCTTCGACGAGCTGGCGACCGGCTGCTTCGAGAACGCCGGGCTGGACATCTCCTCCCCCCTCATCACCACCCTAGCCCGAGTTTGTTCCACGGGCCCCACGGTACTCGTGGCGGTCGTCTTCTCCCTTTTCGAGAACCTCGGCCGCAGCACGTGGGACCGGCTGGCGGTGTGCTCCCCCGGCGACCCGACCTGGGCCGTGCTCCCCAACAACAACGAAACCAATTGCTACTTGGATATCCTCTTCCACAACGGGAGGCTCTTCGCCATCTGCACCCCGTGGGACGACGAGGTGGGGACCCGCCCGTTTGTGTCGAAAACGAGAACTTGCACGGTCGGATGTGCTGACTTGGAGGTGGTGACGTGTGAGCTAGCGTACGAGGTCGCCAGCGTGGAACCACCCCACATGGACTACACGGGATTCGAGGTGTGGAGGAGGTGGAGCGTGGCCGAGCACTTGGTGGGGTCCGACGACGAGCTGCTACTCGCGAGCGCCACCCTCGACATGTTCACCCACAACTTCGATTTGGGTGCCCGTGGGCTCATCCACTCACGGGTGTACAACTGTCCCCAGACGGGAGGATTCGAGGTTCGTCGCCTATTGAATAATAGTGACGAGTTATTATTATTATTATCGGAAAGATTGGAGCAAACTGGAGACAAGTGTATATATTTGGGAGACACGGGCTCGATTTCAATGAAAGGGGTCTCCGACGAACCTAACTGCATTCAGTACGCGACATCCGATGCTATCGGGACGTTTTGGAACCTTGGTGAGGAGGAAGAAGTTGATATCGACAAGCAGGTTTGGACTATTCACGAAAGAGGCGTTTTCAACGCGGCGGAGGAGAGGATACGAAGAACTTGCTCTGCAAACACGAGTGCTCGATCAGGCTCCTGTAGCGGCTGGTTCATGCCTGCAGCTTTTGGTCGTCAACCATTGGTGAGTAATCGTGGCTTATCTGCCTTCTCTTGTTTCAGGCTAGCTTGTGTAGACCAGATAACTAACTTACTTTTTATGTGGCAATCTCTATCTTGGGAGCGCAAGAGTATATATCTACTTAGCCTGCTAAATTTATATGTGCTTTACATGATACGGTGGGATGTGTTCAGACGTGAGATCATGAGGCTATTTTCGATCTAGGCTTCTTGCAAAGTGTTCAACTGCTTCAAGTTATTTCATGAGTTAATGAGAATGTGTAGTGTTTTTAAATGATAGCTGATAAGACCAAATGGAATAAGGTCAATATCACCCGATTACAAATGGAAACATTGTGTTTTGGGAACATTTCAAAACCTACTCAACTCATCATTTTTTTTTAACAATTTTTTCAACCTACACAGATATTCATTTTACAATTTGTTCAACACATCAGTGTGGATATACGTGCATATAATAAGCTTATGTATGTACTTATATATGTGTGTTAATCCAATGATAAAAATATACTACAGTCCAGTCCCAATTTCTAACAATAAGCATCTATTATCCAACAATTTCTAGGTTGCAAAACACAAATTCTTTGTGTAAAATGACATAACCATTAAACAAATCAACTCGTTATACCTTTGCAACAAAAAATAAATACCTATTGTGTTATTTTTTAAAATATGACATTTCAAATTGAAAGTATGTATCGTTAGAAAACTTTGACAACCAAAGCCTAAGTGTGGCTTGCTCAATATAGAAGTTTATATGGACACGAGAATGGAAGATTGCTTCCGTGGAGCAAACCACATAATATTACTTGTGTTCATCCACAACTACAGAACCTCCTCAGTGATCTTCATAGCTTCAAAGCTCGCAGGGGTTCACAAAAAGAAAACAGGTTAAAAAATACACAAGAATCACCATCAAACAAACATAGAAGAGAAATCTTTCACCATTAACCACAGATATAACAATCGTCGCCTTCAAATCCGCCACCCATTTTCGAGCCTCCCTTCCCATTATCGAACTATGCGTCTATGCCGAGTATTAGACATCATTAGGGGGTAAAGAAAAGAAAAAGAAAAAAAAAAAAAAACCCGAGTT